GAAGAAGAACGAGCGGAACAAAGTCGCACCTGTCAAATCAGCAGAGGAGATAGCGGCAGAAGAGGAAGCGCGGCGGCAGGAGCAGAACAGGGCGCTTGTACAAGAGCAGGTCGAGCAGCGCATAGCAGAAAAGGCAGCGGGCAAGAAAGACTGGGATGACGACGTGGAAGACGCCGACATCAACGCCATCGACGACACAGACGGCGTAGACCCCGACGCCGAATATGCCGCCTGGAAGCTGCGCGAGCTCAAGCGCATCAAGCGCGAACGTCTCGCGATCGAAGAAGCCGAAGCAGAGCGCGCAGAGATCGAGCGCCGCCGCAACTTATCCGCCGCCGAACGCGAAGCCGAAGACCGCGCCTTCATCGAGAAACAGCAAGAAGAAAAGGGCGACCGTGGGCAAATGCAGTACATGCAGAAGTACTTCCACAAGGGCGCCTTCTTCACAGACGAGCTCAAGGAACTGGGTGTGGATAGAAGGAACCTCATGAACGCGCGCTTCGAAGACGAGACGAATCGCGAGATTCTTCCCGAGTACATGCAGATCAGAGACATGACAAAACTGGGCAAAAAGGGTCGGACACGCTATAGGGATATGAAGACCGAAGATACCGGCAAATGGGGTGACTTCGGTGATGACCGGCCGCGGAGAGACAAGGGCGACTTCGGTGTCGACGAGAGATTCAGACCTGATGCTTATGGCGGAAGAGATCGGGATAGAGAGGGCCCTTCTGGCGCAAACGCGAAGCCACTTGGCGAGAGGAAGAGGTTCGGCGACGATCACGACCGGGACAGTAAGCGCCCGAAGGTGGAAGAGAGGACTTAAAGCGTGTGATCATTATCATTTTGGCGTTGACAGCATTGGGCGGCGTACTAGCATCTACGGAACATGAATATCATACCCACCGACTTCAGTCGTCGGCTCATTACTCTTCACGAACCCTCTCGTACGTTCCCCGTCCCTGGACATCTCCGTCTGCCATCGCGCGCGCATCCTCTCTCCCCTTTTCCACATCCAACCGCCACAGCAACGGTGCTGGCAATACCACCAGGACCGCCAGGAAGATGAAAGCCGGGCGTATCGTGGCCGCCTGGTCAACGATGAACCCGACAAGAGCTGGACCGAATGCACTGCTACCTTTATCCGTAACAGCATACAGCGCAAAGAACGCCGCTTCACTGCCCTCAGGTATCAAAGGCGCATAGACGGACCGCGCATAAGAAGATATACCACCCATGACTATCCCATGGATGACAGCAATGGGGTAGATCTCCCACGCCTTCTGCAGACCAATGAACCCCAAGCTCTTAAATATAGGTATGTATCCGAGTAAGCCATAGAGAGGAATGATCTCCATGCCCGCTACACAACAAAGTAGTACGGTCTTGGGCTGTAGTGCGAAGCGCCGTTGCACATGCGGCCACGCAAACGCGCCCACGATGCCAGATCCGATAGATGTGATGGAAAGTAGTGCGATGGCAATGGTGCCCATGTGCAACTCGGTGCGTGCGAAGAGAACAGCCGTTCCAGAGATGGTCGCCACGGCATCCGACAGCAGGAACCACGATATCAGGAAAAGGAGCGTCTGTCGTAACTTTATGGCTCTTCGCAGTGTGCCGTAGAAGCTGCGCAAGGAGAAGGATGTGTAGAACAGAAACGTTCTTATCTTTGACGATGACTTTCCTCCGGCAAAGCTCTGCGCAGTCTGTGTTGGTAGTGGTGGACCTGGTCTTGGACGTAGCCACAACAGTGTTGGGATGGAGAATATAGCCCACCAGAGACCGACCATTAATAGAATCATACGGATGGAGAGACTGGGCGACGTTTTCGACAGAGCCGTTTTGTTGAAGAGAACTATGATCAGTATACTAAGGATCTGGACGAAGACTGCGGCCATGTAGCCATATCCCACGCCTTTACTAGAGATTTGTGCGCTTCTTTCTAGATCTCGTTTCAACCGATCGGGGTCGAAGCGGGCGTGCGTGGAAGATGGTCCATTGGCTGGGTTCAGTGACTCCAGCTCGACGTCTGATGCGGAGTCGGAAGATGACGGTTTCCCAAGCGTATTGTTATCTGGATGATTGGCGACAAGCAGTGGCAAGAATGCGTTTAGCAGGACGAATGAACAGCCTAGACTCGCAACTCCGACGATGACTAGAATAGGAGCGAGATAGTATAGTGATGGTGAGATGAAGATGAAAAGACAGCTGGCTAGTGATCCCATGTACGATGTGAACATGAGCATCTTCTTGCGGTATGGGCCTTGGTAACATGTTAGTCCTAGTTAAATATGTAAGATATTGAGCATAATGACTTACCATGATCGGCGAAGGAACTGAAACATATCAAGACCACTGCTTGAAGTAATACAGCCGTAGAGAACGTATACATGGCGAAACTACTCGTCGACATGTCCCTCCCCAGATACCTCACCATGCATTGCTCAGAGTCTCCTCCGGCTTTGCGGTCTGCATCGTCGCGTATCCGGAGTTTTCCGGATGCGGTATGGTCGACACATGGCTTTGAGTGATCGGAGAAGAAGACGCCATTTTCTCGTGCGAGTTGCTCGAGGATGACTGGGAGGAATGCGCCTTGAATCTGTAAGTAAGACGCGAAAATTGATACATGTGTATGGTGGTGGTTGCGTGGGCAGGGTGGAAGAGAAGGCTATGACGTACCGACTGCGACTACAGCGAAGACTTCGGCTGCGATTGGGTACGCATACCAAGCCTTCAATTCGCGATCGGTAGTAGGGCTCGTGTCTTCGCCTTCGTATTTGATGCGCGGGCTGGATACGAGCGTGTCGTCATCGTCGAGGTCGTCATTAAAAGACATATTTGTTTGTTGTTAGGGTTTTCGAGAGTCGCATTGGATAGAGCGCTGACTGTTTGATCGATTCCGATGGGTGCCGGGCTCTTGCCGAGTGGGTCGCGGGTGGTGGGGCGGCTTCCAAGAACGAGGCTTATCATGCCAGGAGCCTCATTCTTCTTCGTCTGCGCTGGGAAGCTGCGTTTCGCCAGGGACTTCTTTGATTCTTTTGAAACACCCTACAAAAATGATAAAGCATATTCCGTTCAGTATCAGGTTAGGCCCATCTAGCTGGACGCCGTGTTTCAATGACGCGTTGTATCATTGACTTTCTATTAGCGTCATGGAACCGGCTGCAAGCTTCACGCACAGAGCCTCTGGTTCCCAGAAGTATGCCGGTTGAGATGCATGTCTGACTGCTCAGTGGTCTTCTTACAAACATTAAATCTGATGCTTGACTATGGCAGTTACTTTGCGAAGCCGTCGAACGACTTCTGACACTCCACGAGCGAAGCGAAAGATCAATGCCGCACCTAAAACACGCAAGCCTTCAGCTAGAACGCCCACCCGGGTAGATACCGAAGACCACCCAATCGTCATCTCAACACCCCCCGGTTTTCCTTTTGAGCTCCAGCCTGCAAAGTATGGCCTCATTCAAGAGCGTGTATGCGACAGCTTGTATGCATTGGTAGTCCAAGCGATCCTATGGAACCAGACTCGGGGCCAAATGGCACGTCCAGTGCTCTTCAGTTTACTCGTGGCCTATCCATCGCCAAATGAGCTCTCCACCGCATCTCTCGAAGATCTGACAACAATGTTGCAGCCCATAGGCCTCCACCGGATTCGAGCGGCCCGCCTTATAGCACTGGCTGAAGCCTGGCTTTCCGCTCCTCCATGTAAAGAGAGAAGGTACAGGAGGTTACATTATCCTGACCGTGGATGTGGTGCAGATGTCAAGCCAGGAGAGATCTTAGGGCCTGACGACGATAGAGAAGGCTGGGAGGTTGCGCACCTGCCGGGCATGGGTGCGTATGCGCTTGACAGCTATCGCATCTTCTATCGCGACCGCCTGAGGGGCATCGAATCTACGAGCGGTGTTGAGCCCGAATGGAAAAGAGTTGTGCCGACCGACAAGGGTAAGTTCTGACTGTACGAAGTGCATGTGAGACATATACTGACTTCGTACCCCTACCTCTGCAGAGCTGATACCATATTTGAAGTGGAGGCGGGAAGAAGAGCGTTGACGACTAAATCGCGCGAACAATACACTGTCTCTCCATTCGTACGGCCTGACAGGCCGCTATCAGACAATTTTGAGCGTACAGGAATGTTCGTATTTACCAGAAAAGCAATGCTAGCTCGCACAGTAAATCGTCGAGACGCTGTCATGTGCTTCGTCCTGGCGCGCGCGTTGACAAGTCGAACCACCATTTCGGAATCCGAACAACAAATCACCACCACCGCTACCCCGCCAAAACGCTCTTGTAGGAATCTGGAAGTTCTGAGCGAGCCGAATCGAATTAGACATGCAAGCGTCACCTCTCTGACCACCAAAAGATTACTGGCGCATTAGTTGCTTTTCATGGTTGCTACAATGTAAGCTGTGCGACAGTAAAGAGCCAGTTAGGAAGCCATAAGCGACGTACGGGAAAACGTTGAATGCAAGGCGTACGCCCCAACTTTGGCCAGATCGGCTGCGGGTAAATGACGACCCTGCAAGATCTCTCATCCAAACGACAACGGCCGTAAGCATCGTTAACATACCTCGGCGTCGGCGCAGCAATGCTACCACGCGGCACAGAATGCGTTCACCTCGAGTCGTTTCACGCACCAAAATAGAGAACCGAGAAGTGACGATGATAAAGTGAATGTCATAAGAGGGGCGGGTGTATCGTCACTTCTGCGTTTGGTTATCCCGTGCTAGGACGCGCCTGACCTTTGTCCCCCTTCCACGTCGAGGCACGTAAACAGCAAACTCGCCTAGTTCACGCGACTACTTACCCCACAACCTTCGTCGCGAACTACCAAGACACACCCAAATGGCCATCGAGAAGGCTTCCAGTACGCCAATGGCTCTGGAATCCGTCAACATCGCCGACGATGAAGAAAAGGCAGCTCAATCAACTACTGGACCAGAGACTACCACCTCCGATCCTTCTGCAGCGCCTGGAATTGCAACCTGGAAGTTGGTATGCTTGTATATCAGGTAAAGGTACCGCAAAACCTCGGTATGATCACTTAGCTAATGCGCACTGCCTAGTATATGCATTGGCCTATTTCTCTCATTCCTGGACACATCCATCATCGCGACTGCCATCTACACGATCGGAGTCGACTTTCAATCCTTATCCAAGGTGAATTGGATTGCCTTATCTTACACACTCGCCTACATTGGTTGCACCGCCATCTTCGCAAGCCTCTCCGATGTAATCGGTCGTCGCAACGCCTACCTCGCCGCCTATGTCATCTTTCTCGCCTTTTCAGTCGGCTGTGGCTTCGCTCAATCCCTCGAACAGCTCATTGCTATGCGTGCGCTACAGGGAGTTGGTGGCTCAGGCTTGTATTCAGTGGGCTTCGTCATACTGGGCGAGATCAGCCCGCCGCGCGTGATCGGTATGTTGGGCGCAATGGCAGGAGCCATTATCGCGATGTCGGGAATCCTGGGGCCAGTGCTGGGCGGTGTCATTACCAGTTACACATCCTGGCGATGGGTTTTCTGGATCAATGCCCCGATCGGAATCATTCCGTTGATCCTTTTCGTACTGGTTTGGTCCAACGACGCCCTCATCCGCGGCGTCAGTCGTCGCAGATTCAAACAGATCGACTTCCTAGGCTTCCTTCTCTTGGTCGCTGCTTCCGTGCCCTTCGTCATTGCATTCCAGCAAGCCGGCATCCACGTCCTCATGAACAGCTCCATCTGGTCGTCTGCCCTCTTCGTTGCTCCGCTCGTCGTTGGTGTGCTCTGCTTTGCTGCGCTCTTCGTTTGGGAGTGGTTCATTGCAAGACGTTGGCCTGACGCGATTGCTGCGCTCTTCCCAATGCGACTAGCCAAGAACCGAGTCTACATGTCAGCACTCGCCACGACATTGTTGATAGGCTTCCCTTACTTTGTCATCATATACTCGCTGCCAACGCGGTTCCAGGTCGTCAACGGAAAGAGTGCGCTTGGATCGGGTGTCGCTTTGCTGCCAATGCTTGGGTCCTCTGCCATCGGATCGACTCTCGCTGGTGCAGCGTCGAGTAAGAAGAATAACACGTTTGCGGTTAACGTCGTTGGTGCCGCCCTCATGCTTATTGGAACCGCAACCTTGTCTACACTCGATAACACTTTCGCCCCGCAAGCTCGAGCCTATGGTTTACAGGTTTTTGTCGGATTGGGCTTCGGATTGACAGTCAGCAATTCGACTCTACTAGCTGGCATTGAATCGGAGCCACGCGACACCGCAGTCGCACAAGGCCTGATGGCGCAAGTGCGTGTGCTAGGGGGTAGCGTTGGTATCGCCGCGTCAACAGCTATCCTGGGCATCAAAGAGCGTCAAGAGCTTCTTGATTCGCTGATTGTAGAGGGCGCCCAGTTGGAGTCACTTGCTGAGTCTATGCGGACCCTTCCTCCCAACAAAGTTTTCGCTATTCGCCAGACATACTCAGATGCTTTCAACGAGACTCTTGTGGCTTGCGCAGTTATCAGCGGTGTGGCCCTCCTGGCGACGCTCGCAGCGTGGCGGAAACATCCCACTGCTATGAGAAATAGAACATAGCATTTGGTCGGATGATGGGAGGTTTGCGCGCCCGGCATGAACTTTAGGAAGGACTGAGGCTAGCTATCAGTCACAGCAGGAAGGGCTCTGTCCCTGCCGGACCAACCCGGGCTCTGTCTGTAGGGCCAGCTACTCAATTAGGAAGTCTTTTCAAAAACCGTGGATTGCGGTGGGGAGGGCACTGTGGGTCGCTGCTCCTATGGAACGGGGCTTGATTGGCCCAACAGGGCCAGCTACCCGATTGGGAAGGTTCTGCGGCATCTGTAGATCGCCGCAGTCTTGGCAGATAGGGCCAGGATCGGCCCTGTGCAGCCTATCAGAGCCCTCCAGGCAGGGCCGTCTACACGTCCCAGCCTCCTCTCTTCTCTCACGGCATCAAGCTTTGAGCAACCGGTGCAGCACCACCATGATAGTAAAACAATATATGTATTCTGCAATCCACATCTATCTCCGATACTATTGTGCCATACAGGAAAGGACTGAAGTTCTGAACCAACGAGAACGCTCCCAATCTTCACGCACTCACATGTCTCCATCTAGGGCTCCACATCCATCATAGGAACCTGATCCTCATTCTTTGCCTCCGCCAACCCCTTCCTCTTCCTGGGCGGTTCCTCCGGCACCGGATTCTGATCCTGCGGCGGCTGCGGCATCTGCGGCACCATAGGCTGCAAGTTGGGCGGCGTAGGCTTGAGTCCGTTGGCGAAAATCTCATTCGCAATCTCCATCCCCAGAGGCACACCACCAATGGGGTAGTCGCCCTCGATACCCTGCCTCGTACCCCGAGTCTTGTACCTAATATCCTCTGGGTTCTTGAACAGAGCAGCGCCTGCGTCATCGACGGCGTAGATATCTTTCTTCGTGGTAGGCACCAAGATGTCCTTTGCGGCCGCGGCGTCGAAGCGCCAGTGCACACCGAGGAAGATGCGTGAGATGGCGTTTTCAAACATCATCTCCCAGCACGAAGTGAACTGGCGCGGGACACGCGTGCGCACGGTACCGGGTTGGTCGGTGATCTCGCGTTCGAGCATGTAGGGTTGGCGGAGATCGCGGCTGATGCCGTTGAGTTCGTCGGATACAAAGTCGATGGCGATGTTGTCCGGCGCGTCGTCCTGCCAGCTTCCGATGCGGCCGTTGTAGTATCTGCGCACCATCTGGAAGGCTGCACCGCCGAATGTGGCGTGGCCAGAGGGGTAGGCGGGGAAGGGCGGCTTGAAGGGAAGGGCGTCTGAGTTTGTAGCTGGGGCGCCGAGGGTAAGCCAGAATGGGTCGCCACGGTCTACACGCGTAGGGTCACGAAGAATGTCGTCGCGGACACCGGAGAGCGGGCGCCAGAACTCAAATTCCCACTTCTCCTTCCAGGAGAAGACGCCTGCGTCGGCCAGGGCTACGTTGACAAGCGCGAGGAGACGTGCAAAGTCAGCGTTATTGGCTTCGCTAGTCAGGGACGCGGGGTCCTTCTTGTATCGAACTGCAATCTTGCGGACGATCTGGTTGTACAGTCTGGGCGGGGTGCCGATCAACTTTGAGCCGTCATAGGCCCACGTCATTCCCTGGACGGTCTGGTGAGGAGTGCGCTTGGTGGAGTTGAGGGCAGGTGCTCCGCCCATGGTGTAGACTTCGCGGAGGGCATCGTCGTATTCCGCTTGCTCGTCAGACATGGAGCGGATGGCTGGTGGGTCGGCAAGAATATGCTCGCTCTGAGTCGCGAAGCGCTTGGCCCTTGTGCCATAGAAGGGACCGTGGTACTGGCGTCTGGGGACCTTTGGACCATTGGGGTCGTTGGCATCCTGGGGGACGAGGTCAACAGGGTGGGTGGGCTCATCGTCGAACTTGTAAGGGCCGACTGTGGGGTGGTAGCCTTGTTGACTGGCACCTTCTGGGTGAAAAAGCAGGTCGAAGAACTTCATGGCTACTGCCTTACCGAAGGTGAAACTAGGAGAAGCCGGATCGACGCCCCCTGGTGCGTTGGTTATCGACTGCTGGATGATGTACTCAAGCTGATCGTAGGTGCTGTTGGCAATGGAGGCGGGAACAGGAGTCACAGCAGGCCTCATGTACAGCATGGACAGCATCGTGAAAGCAGCTCCTGCTACCGCCTGCTGAGCATTGTCTGCGCCAGCTGGATCGGGCAGGCGGTACTTCTCATCTTCAGCGTCGAGGGACAGGAAAGTCTTGAAGTCGGAAGAAGGCTTGATGACGAAGTAGGTGTCGTGTACGGCCAGCTGGAGCATGCCTAGAGCTCTGGCGGAGATTGGGGGTCCAGTCTGGGGGCCATCGAAGGTGTGTGTAACGCGGTTGAGATCCAAGCCGACATGGTTCCAGTAGAGGATGTAGTTCTGGTTGTCTGCCTCGTCTTCAACCTGCTGTGGAAGCTTAACGGGGATGAAGGTCGCCATGATGAATACGTTGGTGTAGGAGGATATGGAAGTTGGTGTAGTTGTAGTTGCGATGAATGTGACAGGAGCCTGGATACTTTATACCCAACGACCCCAGGCCCCCTCATCGCCCGCGAGATCTGTCCAAACCTGGGTTATTTTCTTCTTCTCCCAAAATAACCCAGCTGACCATCAGGTGAACACTCTCCACGATAGGAACCTGGCCACATTCAGGCAGACGAGAAGGCAGACTCTGAGCCACGCCGTTACAAACCGATGCGAAGGACCATTGTCGTGGAGTAGAGATACTGCCAAGAGTCAATGAAGTTCTCGCGCCATGCAGCCACTGGCGGGAGGATTACACTTGGCGCGAACTACTTGTGACGAGTGAAGTTGCTTACCGACGCGCTGCGGAGAGGCTGAGTTTGGCTGCTGTGAGCGGTTGGTGGTCAGATCTGACGTACTTTTCAGCTGACAAGGGGGTCCGTGATCCAGCCTCTCAAGTCTCTCAGCCAATGCATTCATGTTACGAAGCTTAAAATCGCCATAGGTATTGCTAAGCAGTATATATCCCAGAGTGTATGCTGTGACTCTGGTGCCTGTTGACGTACCATTGGGCTATGACATGTGCGAGGGAAGCCTCCGGTGGCAGTGTTTTGGACCCGAACTCGATACGAATGCTGTCCAACAGCAATACTGTTCATATGGGAACCTGGCTGACGGAATCTAATCAACTCCAACTCCGGGGACTGCCTGTGATGGTTAGTCGCAGCTGGGTTGACTGCTGGCGGTAGGGCTGAGGGAAGGTCGCTTGGTACAGTCAAACACCTTGGATGGATTAACGTGATCAGCCCAGCACAAAACATTGTGACCCGACGCCCCATGGCTGAAGGCAATGTACCAACAGAGAATGTCGCAATGCACCTGACAATATCTAGCACTCATGTCGCGAATCCAGGGGCGGTGTATCTGACCTCTGAACCCATGAACCCGGCATAACACGAACGCTTACCTCAGCTTGGTACACACGTGAGTGGGTGCGCGCAACTCCTGGGGAACTTTCGCGCACGGCGGAAGGATCGTATCAGAGGAGGCGTTCGCATAGACGCATCTCGGTCCGCCACAGATCTTGATCTGGCCAAACAAAGGACAGAATTCCCACCTCACCAGATCTCCTGATGTTGAGATACGACAGAGGAAAACAGCAGTTTTTTCTGAGAGCGATAGGTGTGTGTGCAAAAACATGACTAGGAAAGTTACTGCGATAAGCACATGTGGTCGATAGAACAAGTGAAGTCAATTCTCATCCTACCTACTGATTCGCAGCGGACAACGGAAATGCCAAGCTTCCATGCTCAGGGCGTATTGTGCATCCCATAGCCATCAAGCGATGGAAGGTGGCTTCTTATTTGGCCTCCTTCAATAATGCCTCCATGGTAGCGTCCTTCTGACTGACGCTGCCACTTCGTTCTGCAGGCTTGAGCTTGCCGGAGGCTGGGCCCTCGCTATTTTGAGCAGCGTTCTTTAGCCGCTCGGTATCTTCAGGGTTTGTGTCCTGCTTCTTGACGTCCTTCTCCTCATCGTCGCTGTCGCCAAGGCTAAAGGGATCGTGGTCATCGGGCTCTGGGTTTGGTGCGACTGAGGTGAGAGGCTGCCATTTCTTGCCGCTCGATTTACCCTGGCTGCCCTGGTTGTTCGGCGATGGGTTGCGGTACAGCGCATCGACCTCGTCAACGGGTCCGCTCTGGGGCGGAGATACGGGCGTGGGCTTGAAGAGGTCGGGGTTGGCGTGCGGGCGACTTGACGATCGCGGGCCAGGGCCTGTAAGTTGTTAGCAGCTATTGCACGTGCGTGGTGCTTCCAGCATACCTTCGTTGTCTCTCAACTCGAGCTTTGCGAAGTCGTCGCCAATGACTCGGTTGTCAGCATCGTAGCGGTTGTGGTCTGCCGACCGTCGCTGCTCCGCTGACTTGCGAATGCCATGTATCTGGTCTGACTGCGATGGACCAAAGTTCTGCCTCTGCTGTGGCGGTGGTTGCCTTCCCGTGTACTGGACGTTGCCGTATCTGTCATACTCTTCCATCTCACCGCTGTCGAGCTTCTTGGTGAAGTTGCTGATCCACTTTGTGACGGTTTGCTTTGTTTCCTCGAAGCCCTGCTCGATGTTCTTGCGGATCTCGGGGAGGTCGTCTGGCTCAATATTAGTAGCTGCACAGGTGTTGACGTCGCGTCATCGTACCATCGAAGAAGCTGTGCTCCCGCTCGGGCTCACCAGGCCGTTGTCGCTGCCCCTGGCCACGCGATGCGTAACCGCCCTGGCCCTCTGGACCGCCTTGACTTTGGTAGTGCTGAGCCAGTTGTCGCGCATATATCTCATCCTGCTCGAGCTGACTACGGGGCTGCGGGCGCGGCGGTTGGGGCGGAGGAGCCTCCTCGGCCTTGAAGTTGGGATCCGACATGCCTGCGCTGGTTAGCTATACCCCTCACAACCATAAACCAGATAGGCAGCCACGTACTCAGCAGCGCGTTGAAGGCAGGCTCGACCTTGCCTCCGCTGGCCACCAAAACCGCCTTGACGACGTTCGGGTCGACGTCAGGGAAAGCCTCAATCAGCGTGTTCTGCGCCTGCACCTGGGGGTCGACTGGCCGTGGGGGCTTCTGGGGAGGGATCTCGGTGGCCTCCTCGTTGAAGCGCACGCCAGGCTTGGGCGACTTGGAGGCTGGCGAGGGTGAAGTAGCATTGTCTTGGGTCGCAGATGCCGGGCCATCGTTATCATCGTCGAAGTCGAGCTCACGCGCCGTAGTTGGGCTCTCTGGAGGCTGCAGCTATTAGTGGGGGCTTCCTTCTTCATCCGTCTCTTTTTCGCTTACCTTTTCCGTGCTAGTTTTCTCTGACATATTGGCTATTGTTCTGTGTATAAGGAGAGTGGTGTGCGACTTGTTGGTGATTGTAGAAGGTAGTCGCGGTTGTTGAAGCTCTGGGCTCGTGAATGCCGCGCAGTGGCTCGTGGCTTGGAATGTTCCACTGCCACTGATGACGTTTCGCGCCAAGTGGGGCGCCATCAACTCGACCAAGCCATCCCTACAGACCTCCAGCATTCACTCTCATCCCAAGTGTGCGTCGCGAATACCTCTTTGAAGTCACCACTCCGATTCCTTCTCAGTCATATTCGAGCTTCAATTGTTGCATCTTCCATCCAGCTGTACACTCAAAGACTCGATAGGCCACCCGTCATAGCTGACATTGGATACCATGTCAACAATAACTTCTCTAGTAGTATTCGCAAAGACAGTCGCCGCTCTCGATAAGTTCGAAAGCAATGCCTGCATTCCATACATCTAGCCGGCCATCGCTGCCGGTTTTGCATTGCTGCGCCACCGATCAGGCATCCAGCCACCCTCGCCGTGTGCCGTGTCTCGGCACCATCTTTTGTCTTTCGAAGTCTCTTGAGCTGCTACTGTCGCTCATGTCACATTCGTATCCTGCTTCAACATGTTGGTCGATGCACAGGTGATTCAAGATGATCATGAGTATGTGCCCATGGAGCCGTCCTCACCACCAACTACTGACAATGCGCAGGCTGTACAGCATCACCAAAGCCGCGTATACGCGCCTGCCACGCGAGATACGCGACATGGTCTTATCTAGTATTCTCACGCAAGACTATCGAGAAACAATCTATGTCCAGCAGTTCCGCGATGAATTCAAGGAATTCAAGGAATTCCACGGCCGCTTTTATGGGGATAACACAATAGCCTGGGTAGAGTACAGCTCACCTAAGCAGTGGGAGCCGCCCTGGATTTCGCTCTTTTACCCACCTTTCGCAGCGGAAATGATTGACATACTCTATGAAAAGTACCCGCACTTCAAGATCAGTACGCCGACCAAGCTCCCAGAATTTCTCAGCGCGGACATGTTCGGAGCGGGACGTACCCCACGCGATGCGAAGCTTCCTAATTTAACTATCAAGGGATCATTGGATAAGGGAAGCTCCGACTATGTCAGCGTCAAAACACTCGCATCCGATTTGAAAGCCCTTTCCGACTGCACCTGGACCCCAAACTTCCAACTCGACATCACCTTCCGCACCGAGCTAGGCATCTCCATCTTCAAAGCCAGCGCCATACCTCGTGTGGCACGGAAGACACACAAGATCTGTCAAATAATGCGTCCTTGGATTATTGAAGCCGAGGAACGGGGTGCAAAAGTGTACTTTACGATAGCCACCAGGCGTCCGGGACAAGTTCACAGCTCGGTTCGGCCGGAATACACGACGTATGGATGCTTAGATGGAGAACGCGACATGTTCTATACTGAGAAAGAATGGGTGAAAGAGCTGAAAGGAACTCTAGGTCCAGAGTGCCAATGGTTCCGGCGGGAACGACCTGGATATACACAAAGAAAAGACATCTTGAAGCGATCGAGGCCGAAAGCTTATGCTGTGGCACACTTGATCGGGGCTGCATGGGGTTTAGTCTTCTGCATTTGCTGTTACCTACCCGCACAGGCAAGGGAGGACTGGAAAGATCGTAAGAGAAAAAGAAGTGTGTTACCAAGAGCTGTGTTACGTTGAGGTGTCATCGTACAACAGAACACCATCTCTGCACTATCATTGGGTATGTTGTAGTAAAATCAGAGTGTCTGATAACGAGTGATCTGTCAGATTAATCATTCAGATACCTGCATATCGGTACGACCACGAAAAGTGCACTTCTCCAATCGTTCTTGTGTCATCAAAAAGCTCTTGGGGAACCACTCTGGTTTCCCGTTCATACTCCCAGCTTCCATCATCTTGACCAACGCCTCCGCAGACTTCAAACACAACACCATACCATGGCCATTAAACCCCGCGGATATCCACAAGCCCTCTTTACCTGGCACCTCGCCCACAAACGGTCGTCCGTCAGCCGTCGCGCCCATAATTCCTGTCCACTCCTGCACCACGCGGCGCGATGCCTCTTCTTTAGACTTCTCACCCCAGTTCTCGGCGCCGAAATACCCAGTCAAGCTCTCGTTGAGG